TCGTGATCCGCCCGCCTCAGCCTCCCAAAGTGCTGGGATTACAGGCGTGAGCCACCGCGCCCGGCCTATATTGGACTATTATTAAAACATGTTACACTGAACCTAGTCATGTAGATCCTGAAACTTAAATAACAAGTAGGATTTCATGATTGCAGTCCTAGTTAATCACGGGAAGGAGATGGAAGAAAACGTTAGTTCGCCATATAGTCTTAGATAAAAACAGGTGGGGCGTGGTGGCTTATGCCTGTAATCTCAGCACTTTGGGAGGCCAAGGCAGGCGGATCACGAGGTCAGGAGATCGAGATCATCCTGGCTAACACGGTGAAACCCCGTCACTACTAAAAATACAAAACAATTAGCCAGGCGTGGTGGCAGGCGCCTGTAGTCCCAGCTACTCGGGAGGCTGAGGCAGGGGAATCGCTTGAACCCAGAAGGCGAAGGTTGCAGTGAGCCGTGATCACACCACTGCACTCCAGCCTGGTTGACAGAGTGAGACTCCATCTCAAAAAAAAAAAAAAAAAACCAACCAAACGAACAAAAACATTCAGGAGATTTGCAAATGCCAACTGAACTCTTGGCACTTTCCGTTTATTTTAGGTTTCAGTTCTTCAGTCTACAAAGGACTCTTCTAAAAGGATATGTGTTGCTAATACCCATCTTTACTGGCATCCTAAAGGTAGGTTTTATTTGGTATCACAAGTGACTTAAACGCGCGTAAGGTTGTTTAAAGCTGTTTTACACAAATATATATCTTGAATGTCACCCAGAAATTGTAATTTGTGTAGTTTTTCCTTTTTAACTTAAAGACAACTTTAAAAAATACTTACATTAATGTTTTTTATATTCATAGGTGGGTATATTCGCCTCATTCAAATGGCAGTAGCCTTGGCTCACATTAGACATGTTTCATGTGATCTGTATCCTGGCATACCAGTTATATTTTGTGGGGACTTTAATAGTACACCATCAACAGGAATGTATCATTTTGTCATCAATGGCAGCATTCCAGAGGATCATGAAGACTGGGCTTCCAATGGGGAGGAGGAAAGATGCAACATGTCTCTTACGCATTTCTTCAAGCTGAAAAGTGCTTGTGGTGAACCTGCTTACACAAATTATGTTGGTGGCTTTCATGGATGTCTAGATTACATTTTCATTGACTTAAATGCTTTAGAGGTTGAACAGGTGATTCCATTACCTAGTCATGAAGAAGTTACCACCCACCAGGCCTTACCTAGTGTTTCCCATCCCTCTGATCACATAGCACTTGTATGTGATTTAAAATGGAAATAGATGTGTGTTTAATGGAATTGAAGTCTGAAAAGGAAGTAGTTATTTTAGCAGAAAATTTAATATGAATCAAAGCTTATATGTAACCTTCAAAGAGGAATGGTAAAATGTTCAACCCTCCTAGTTATGTTCCCGATGTCTTCATTAATGAAACTGTTGATAATGTTTGCATCATACAGCTTTTCTTTCCTCGTTTTCCTCTACACTTGGAGGAGAAACAAATTATTTATTACTAGCAAGACAGAAAATTATATTATTTTTCTCCAATTTAAGACTCTCAGAAAAAGAAGATTGAATTATCGTGGTTTTTTGTTTGTTTTTTTTTTGTTTGTTTGTATGTTTTTTGAGACAGAGTTTTGCTCTTGTTGTCCAGATTGGAGTGCAATGGCGTGATCTCGGCTCACTGCAACCTCCGCCCCTGGGTTCAAGCGATTCTCCTGCCTCAGCCGCCCAAGTAGCTGGGATTACAGGCATGCGCCAACACGTCTGGCTAATTTTTGTATTTTTAGTAGAGATGGGGTTTCGCCACGTTGGCCAGGCTGGTCTCGAACTCCTGACCTCAGGTGATCCACCCGTCCCGGCCTCCCAAAGTGTTGGGATTACAGGCGTGAGCCACCGAGCCTGGCCCTTGTGTACATTTTTATAAGATAACTTTTTAGGTAGTAGTTCAGAATTTTTAAAGTACCATTTGAATGATCTTAATTTTTCTTTCATGACAACACATTCCAAAATGAATCATGCTTATGTACTAAGAGGGAAAATGTATGTAAGTTAAGGGTGAGAGACTTAAGTTATAGGTGACCTTAGAGACCTAAGGTGGAGAGACTTGACACATGGAAGGAGTAACATTAGGGTCTACCTCTACCTCAATTTAGTTAGTGATTTACTACAATTTCAGAGCTTTAACAAAAGATAAAAATAAATCGTCACCAATTGTTATTGCTTCTCATCTTTCATTTCTCAATGAACAAGTAAGGTATTTTCATTCTTATTTTTAGGATTTTAGTTTTTAGTGTATGGAACAAATGAACACAGTTTGTATTCTAATTCTTACTGCAGCTCATTTTAATTTTTAGGATGCAAGCACAATTTAGTATTCAAAGTCAGTAGCAACATATTCAACTTGATCCTATTGTCTTTAGTTACTCTTGCCCATGAAAAATATTCATAAATGAACAGGGTATTTGACCATATGATATTAGAAAATACAGCACAATATATTCATTTATGAGAAACTACCTACTGATATGGGCTTGAAATTTTGGGTGAATCATTGAGCATTTCTACGCTAGAAGTAATTTCAAAATTGTTGGTTTTTATAAACAAGAAAAAGGGTGAGTAGTGGGACTTTTAAGCATCTCTGAAATAAAAAAACTATTCTTTTTATAGACAAGCATTATAGTTTGAGTTACAGACAACAGTGTGTATATATGTAATATATATATATAGTAAAAGGAAATTTAAATATGAAGCCAAACTTTTTAAAATTAGAAACTACAAATGGTTATACTGATTAGTGTCTAGCCTAGAATGGTAACCAGGCTTTACTAATCCAATTATCAAACACATTATTTATAATGCATTAGCTGTATTAGCTGTTGCTTTTTTGATGTTCAGGATAACTATGTTATCTCATTTCTGCATTTAATTAATAGCTCGAGTATTAAAAGACCACCCCTTCAAGAAAAGCTTTGATTTTCCCCAGTCATGAAAGCCCTTGTTTCAAATTCTTTAATCTCTGAACCCAGTATCATAAAATTTTCCTCTTTTGATAATATCTGTACTTTCATATTCTGCTCACTATCAAATGTATTGTTAACTCTTAGTAAGTTTGAAAATGACGGGGTTTTATCTGCACTTGACATTGAACCTTGAAGTACTTTAAGTACTCCAAGGGAAAAATTAAAGTGGAAGTTTCTTGGGATCTTGTTTAGAAAAAACTATAAATAAAAAATTGATGCTACCAAATTGTGCCTTCCTAAATAACATTTTTGATAGCATTTTAACAGCAGTTTACAAATATGTAAATAATAGATTAAAACCAAAACTTGATTCTCTTGTGAATTTTTTTTTCATTTTAAAAATACATTTTTGGTCTGCTTTCAAACAAAGATGTTGATGGAACCCTTAGAGTGACTTGGGAGAAAACGAAGTGTGACATCAAAAAGTTGAGATACATTTTGAAAGAAAAAATTCAAACATGCCCATGAAAAAAGCATACAGGTTCCACATTAGCACTGGCTAGATTAAACTGTAGTCAGAAAACTCAGCACTTAACAGACATTCCATGTCCTATATCCTTAATTTTGATATTTTCTGACTAAACAATATACTCAGATTGTATACAGGCATTTCAGATTATTAGGACATGGAATGTTATTGTGAAGTGCCATACACTCTGATCAAATCTCCAATATACAGATAGGTTAAAATGATTGGAGTCCAAAGGTAGAGAACACTAAGAAAATGTATAAATAGCATACACATTTCTTTGTACTCATGAGTCAGAAGGCAGTGTTATTCAGAAATATCTGTTTAAAGCACCTGTGTGATTGCATTTTTCTATTACATTTGGATTTTTTAGTACATTTAATTTTAAGAAAACATGGGAAATCTAGTGACTTTCTATGGTAAACCACATTTTATAATGTCACAAGTTCTTGCTATAGGAATTAACATTCTAAAATTTTATATTGATTATAAAAGAGTATTTCAGAACATATTATTCTGTTAAAATGAACTCTTACACAGTTGCCGCTACAGCACATGTATCTGCCAATAATCATAATTCATTAGTGAACAATCGTTTCTGGCTGTATGTTCTTTTTGAAATTCTGAATGCTAAAATCAGTTGTTTCAAAATTTCAAGAATTTCACTGAGTGGTGACTTTTCTGAGTACTAAGCTATGATCTCATCAGAATGTGCTAGTTTCAGTCTGGAGATAGATTTCTGAGGAGCCTAACACAAGGGAGAGAAGGTCCAAAGAACGCTACTGTGGAAAGTTCTTACGGTAGAAATTGTCATCTTTTGTATGTCATTCTCCAGCCATGAAATAAAGGCAGAGGGTTCCCTGCAAACTAGTTTGGTTGGGATAAATCCAATATTTATATATAATGAAAAATAAAAGTTTGCATTATTAGTTTATCACAAGACCCATGTGACACCTCAGAAAATATTCTCAGCATAATTTTTTTAAGAAATAGAGTCTTACTGTTACCCAGGCTGGAGTGCAGGGGTGCAGTCATAACTTACTACAGCCTCAAACTCTTGGGCTCAAGTGATCCTCCTGCCTCAGCCTCCCAAGTAGTTGAAATTACAAGCCCAACCTTTCATACCTGAAAACTAATTTTCTTTCTTTCTTTCTTTTTTTTTAAATGATACTTTAAGTTCTAGGGTACATGTGCCCAATGTGCAGGATTATTACATAGGTATACATGTGCCATGTTAGTTTGCTGCATGCATTAACTCGTCATTTACATTAGGTATTTCTCCTAATGCTATCCCTCCCCCTGCCCTGAAAATGAATTTTCTAAACACCAATAAAAACTATTTCAATGTTTTGAGAATTTTAATAATTTGCTTTAATATAGTATGGGAAGGCAACACTGTATAGAGGGACAGGCATAGTGGCTCATGACTGTAATCCCAACATTTTGGGAGGCTGAGGCAGGAGGATCACTTGAGCTGAGGAGTTCAAGACAAGCCTTGACAACATTGTGAGACCCTATATCTGCAAAAAATAAAGTTAGCCAGGCATGGTGGTACATGCCTGTAGTCCCAGCTGTTCAGGAGGCTGAGGCCAGAGGATCACTTGAGCCCATGAGGTCAAGCCTGCAGTGAGCTATGATCAAGGTGCCACTGCACTCCAGCCTGGGTGACAGAGCAAGACCCTGTCTCCAAAAAACCACTCTAGATTTCATTTTGTAGGGGGTAGGGAGGACAATTTTTAACAGCTCTAACTGACATGGATAATATATAAGTTCTGTGTTCTCACTTTATGCAAAAGTACTTTTTTAAATGTTGAAAATACTAGAGCTGTATTAACTTGATTTTTTTTTTTCTTAGCACTAACTTCAAAATAACCACACAGTACTGCTTGTAATTTTTGTATTTTTAGTAGAGACAGGGTTTCACAATATTGGCCAGGCTGGTCTTGAACTCCTAACCTCAGGTGATCTGCCTGCCTCAGCCTCTCAAAGTGCTGGGATTATAGGCATGAGCCATGGTACCCGGTCTAAATTTTAATTTTATATATAAATGGCAAAATAATCTTAAACATACTAAATCTGTTCACTTATCTGCTATGCTAGCAAACTCTGGGTTGTCAAAAATACATGTTCATATTGTCAGTGTTAGATTTTTATTCATAATTTAAAATTTCCTTCCAAAATTTCACAGAAAACTGAATTATTCATCTCCATCTTCTGTCCAATTTATGTATTGATTGTATGTCAAAGCATTTATGTAACAGTCCATTTTGCCCAGTAATTCACTTTAATGATGTTATCATGAAGTGTTGACGTACTTTTTTTTTTTAGTGTATTGAAGTATTCCTAGGTTGCATTTGTGCTAGTTTCATACCATTTGTGTTCCTTATATATTGAGGATGGTTCAGTAGGGGAATTGGATAGGCTTTATTTAGTTGGCTTTCTTATACTGGATAATATAAACATTTTTTTTTTTTCTTTTCTTTTTTGAGACAGGGTCTGGCTTTGTCACCCAGGCTGGAGGGCAGTGGTGCCATCACGGATCACTGCAACCTCCACCTCCTGGCCTTATGCAATCTTCCCACCATGGCCTCCCCAAATAGCTGGGACTACAGGTACTCACCACAACACCTGGCTAATTTTTGTATATTTTGCAGACAAAAAAAAAAAATGGTTTCACCATGTTGCCCAGGCTGGTCTTGAACTTCTGAGTTCAAGCAATCCACCCACCTCGGCCTCCCAAAGTGCTGATATTACAGACATGAGCCATCCCACCCAGTCAGCACATATATATTTTTTTTTAATAAGACAGAGTCTTATTAAAGCCTGCTGCCCAGGCTGGAGCACAGTGGCATGATCATAGCTCACTGCAGCGTCAAACTCCAGGGCTTAAGTGATCCTCCCACCTCAGCCTCCTGAATAACTGGGACTACAGGTGCATGCCACCATGCCTGGCTAATTTTTTAAATTGTTTGTAGAGATGGAAGTCTCTCTATGTTGCCCAGACTGGTCTTAAGGCCCAGACTGGTCTTAAACTCCTGGGCTCAAATGACTCTCCTGCTTCAGCCTCCCAAAGTACTGGGACTATAGGTGTGAGCCACCACACTTAGCCCTTTTCTAAAATAATTAAAAACAAATTTTTTCTCCAGAAAAGAACATATTTAGCAATTTTTAAAAACATGGGCACATAGTAGATGTATATATTTATGTGGGACATATTTCTTTTGATAGAGTAAATTGAGTATCCATCACATCAAGCATTTATTTGTGTTACAAACATTCCAATTGTACTCCCTCAGTTATTCTAAGATGTGATATACACACTTTTAAAAGGATTTATTGTGCTGGGTGTGGTGGCTCACGCCTGTAATCCCAGCACTCTGAGAGACTGAGGTGGGTGGATCACGAGGTCAGATCGAGACCGTCCTGGCCAACGTGGTGAAACCCCATCTCTACTAAAAATACAAAAATTAGCTGGGCATGGTGGTGCGCACCTGTAGTCCCAGCTACTTGGGGAGGCTGAGGCAGGAGAATCGCTTGCAGAGGTTGCAGTGAGCCAAGATTGTGCCACTGCACTCCAGCCTGGCAACAAAGCGGGACTCTGTCTCAAAAAAATAAAATACAATAAAATAATAAAAGGTTTTATTGCATATAATTCTTATATCCCCTGTGGAATAGTTTGGAAAAATGGTACATCCAAAGATAAAATCAGTTAGAAATAAACAGTGGCCTTCCTCAGAAAAGCTGGGTTAAGTATAATGTTTTGGGTATCTTAAACCAAGAAAGGGTATTTCTGTCCAAGCTGTAGAATTTTTAATAATTCTATTATAAATAATGGAATCAGGCCAGCGCAGTGGCTTATGTCACATAATCCCATTCTCCTTAAGAGCTTTTTGTCACTGCATATCAACTCAGTTGACAAGGACTGGCCCCCAAAAGAAGCTGCATACTCACTTGGCAGTCACTCCCTATTCCCCCTAGCTCCTGGCAGCAACTTAAGCTGTTTCTGTGGATTTGCCTATTCTGGACGTTTCATATACATTGAATCATATAATTTATGTAGTCTTTTGTGACTGGCCTCTTACGTAGGATGTTTTTAAGGTTCAGGAGTTTGTTTTTATGATGAATGTTCCATCTTATGGGCATACCACATTTGTCCATTCATTAGTTGACAGACATTTGAATTGCTTCCACTTCCTGGCTTCTATGAATAATGCTGCCATAAACATTTGTTTACAAGTTTTTGAGTGAATATGTGTTTTTGTTTCTCTTGGGCACACAGAAGGAGTGGAATTGTTGGGTCCTATGATAACCTTTTGAGGAACTGCCAAACTATTACTGAAAGCAGTTGCACTATTTTGCATTCCCATCAGCAATATGAGGGTTCCAATTTCCCTCCATCCTCATCAACACTTTATAAATCTTTTTGATTATAGGCATCCTAGTGTCAAGTGGCATCTTACTGTGGTTTTGATTTGCATTTCCATGATGGTTAATGATGTTAAGCATCTTTTCCTGTGCTCGTTGGCCATCTATATATCTCTCTGGAGAAATGTCTTTTGAAATACTTTGCCCACTTTAAAATGTTATTTGTTGTTTAGCCACCCCTCCTTAAAAAATACATAATAATCCATCATCCCTTGCCTTTTCAGGGCCATCCAGGAGGCAAATCTTTCTTAGTCTGTGCTTCATACATCCCTTTAGTTCCCAGCCTAAAAAAAAAAAAAAACACTGTGACCAAAATCTGGTGAGTTCCCAGAAAGCAGGGGTAAGCTGTCCAACACCAAGTACTTATATGCCCAATAAAATTGAAAATGTGGCCGGGCACAGTGGCTCATGCCTGTAATCCTAGCACTTTGGGAGGCCAAGGCGGGCAGATCACTTGAGGTCAGGAGTTTGAAACGAGCCTGGCCACATGGTGAACCCCCATCTCTACTAAAACTACAAAAACATTGGCTGGCTGTGGTGGTACACGCCTGTAGTCCCAGCTAATCCGGAGACTGAGGCAGGAGAATCACTTGAACCCAGGAGGCAGAGGTTGCAGTGAGCTGAGATCGTGCCACTGCACTCCAGCCTGGGTGACAGAGCACGACTCCGTGTCAAAAAAAAAAAAAAAATGAAAATGTATCATTTGAACAATATAGAAAAATGACTGACAAGGTCAGGAAGGAACCTAACTCCGCTGCCCTCTAACACATGAAGCCATACTGGCAGGGATCCAATAGTACAGCTACCTTAATTTTTCTTTGCCTGTGTCTAGATAAGCACTTTTGCTATTCATTTCTCACAATCTTATTAGAATTTAACCGTTTAAGATAAAGGGATAGTCCTCTAAAAGTAGCATAGTAAGAAACAGCAGCAGCCAAGCAGCCTTCCAATAGTGGCCCATGAATGCAAGGTCACATGTATATATTAGTAGAAATATATTTTCCCTGTTGGATCCTCAGGTAATGAACTTACAGACTATTGTTATTCAATCTAGTTTTCATACTAATTCTACCAAAGCTGATAACCAATATTTACATTATTGAAACATCCAGAAGTACAAGCTACCAGAAGGTACAAGCACTTGTTTTCTCTCCAGTTTTTCTCCATTGAAAAGCACTTGGTTGGATGTGGTGGCTCACACCTGTAATCCCACCTGAGGTCAGGAGTTCAAGATTAGCCTGAACTCCGTGAAAGGGGGGTGAAACCCCGTCTCTACTAAAAATACCAAAAATTAGCCGGACATGGTGGTATGTACCTGTAATCCCAGCTACCCAGGAGGCTGAAGCAGGAGAATCACATGAACCCGGGAGGCGGAGGTTGCAGTGAGCCGAGATCACACCATTGCACTCCAGCCTGGGTGATAGAGTGAGACTCCATCTCAAAAAAAAAAAAAAAAAGTAAAGCACTTATTTTCAATAACAAGTTAGGAGTCACTTTCAAACCTCCATGACAAAGAACCAGGTATTTCACGTTTAATTACATTTGGGCAGGGCAGAGTGGCTCATACCTGTAATCCCAGCACTTTGGGAGGCCTAGGTGGGTAGATCGCTTGAACTCCGGAGTTGAAGACTAGCCTAAGCAACATGGCAAAAGCCTATCTCTACAAAAAATACAAAAATTCACCAGACATGATGGCATGTACCTGCAGTCCCAGCTATGCGGGAGGCTGAGGTGGGAGGATCACTTGAGCCTGGGAGGTTGAAGCTGCAGTGAGCTGTGATCATGCCACTGCACTCCAGCCTGGGTGACAGAGCAAGACCCTGTCTCAAAAAAAAAAAAAAAAGGTTGGTCCTAGTAAGTGACCTGAAAGTAATTACTACTACATGACAGATAATTTTGTATACTCAAGTAAACTGAAGTATCTGAATGAGACACCAATACTCTCCACAGATACACCTCACTTTTTTTTTTTTTAAATAAATAGAGATGGAGGTCTCACTATATTTACCAGGTTGGTCTAAAACTCCTGGCCTCAAGGGATCCTCCCGCTTTAGCCTCGCAAAGTACTGGGATTACAGGCATGAGCTACCATGCCTTTTTTATTTTCAATGGAGGGTATATAAGGTAAGTGAAAAATTCCCTTAACAAAATATAGATATTACATCACAGAAAAGCAGCTTATGTTAAAGTGAGACAAAAGACAATGGGAAATATTATGGACAGAAAAAAAAATGCTTATTGGACAGGGGAACCAGAGAACAGATAATCGTACTATCCTCAACTCTGATGCTGTCAAGTGAGCCTGTAAGGGAATCACAGTTTCTCTACTGACATTGACAATTATTTGACAGAATACTTTTTAATCCAGGGATATAATCAACTGTTCTGTACAATAGGGGCGGTCACAGAGAACTCTTATTGCTTGACCAACAGTAGAATTGAATCTTGATAGCATCAACTATTTCATAAGAATACTTCAATAAATAAGGACAGTGACAGTAATTTTATGTTTGCATAAAACAGGGAAAGGCTAGGGGTTATCTCTCACTACTTTTCCCTAAAACATTTAAACCACTTCTGTTTGGGGGGAAAAAAAAGGAACTTTAAAAAAAAAATACAAAGACTGAAGAAAAAAATAATTTTTAGGAGTAAACGTGTCAAGTTCCTAAATTAATACTTTATTATTTTATTATTATTTTTTTGAGACGGAGTTTCACTCTTGTTGCCCAGGCCGGAGTGCAATGGCGCGATCTCGGCTCACTGCAACCTCCGCCTCCTGGGTTCAAGTGATTCTCCTGCCTCAGCCTCCCAAGTAACTGGGATTACAGGCATGCGCCACCACGCATGGCTAGTTTTGTATTTTTAGTAGAGACAGGGTTTCTCCATGTTAGGCTGGTCTCGAACTCCTGACCTCAGGTGATCCGCCCACCTCAGCCTCCCAAAGTGCCAGGATTACAGGTATGAGCCACTGCACCCAGCCTAATACTTTCTTTAAAAACTATAAAAATTAGCTGGACATGGTGGCTCATGCCTGTAGTACCAGCTACTTGTGCGGCTGAGATGGATCACTTGAGCCCAGGAAGTAAAGGCTGCAGTGAGCCAAGATCCTGCCACTGCACTCCAGCCTGGGTGACAGAGTGAGACCACCTCAAACAAACAAAAAAAATGTAATTTCCAATGGTAGTAAGAGCTGCCTTACATCACAAGTGAGATTACATGGATTCTCTAGTCCCTTTACAGCCCATGAAAACACCTTTGAATAACTAGGTTAAACACCTTGGCAATTTAATGATTTAACTATAGCCCTAACACTGAACTTATTCACTGTTTTATATTTTCAAAACTGTTTTTTGTAGGAGAGTAGCATCATCAAGTCTACTTATATATTTATATAGTATACATATTTATATAGTTGATACCCCGGTAAGACTACACACATATTATACTATAGTTCAGTTTTACCTACAGGAAATGACACCTCTCTTCTTTGGAAGAAGGGAAAATTCATCCAGTAGGCTAGGGAAATTGCATTTCTAACAAGTAACACAAACTAGTTTAAACATACACTTTGTCCTAATCATGAACTACTTCTAATTTCCTTTTGGTTAATCCAGTGTTTTGTTTTTTTGGAGACAGAGCCTTGCAGACCGTGTGTAGTGGCGCTATCTTGGCTCACTGCAACCTCTGCCTCCCAGGTTCAAGTGATTCTCTTGCCTCAGCCTCTCAAGTAGCTAGGACCACAGCATGCACCAGCACACCAGACTTTTGTTGTTGTTGTTGTTGTTGTTGTAGTTTTAGCAGAGATGGGGTTTCACCATGTTGCCCAGGCTGGTCTTGAACTCCTGAGCTCAGGCAATCTGCCCACCTTGGCCTCCCAAAGTGGTAGGATTACAGGTGTGAGCCACCGCGCCCAGCCATTGTTTATTATTTATTTGACAATTCAAAAATAATACTTTTTTTTACACATATGCATTTGATTTTGGAATTTTCAATCCATAAATTTAGCTGAATCTTTACAAGCCATTAAGAATGCAACATCAGAATACAGACAGCAACTAAGTTACTCAGTAATCAAGTTGAGCCCTTAACAACTTAATAGATGTAGTTTATGAGGTATACCTTTATATGAATTATATGCAGCTTTCTGTTGAAGTTCTAAAATCTGTCCTGTTAAAAAGTGATTGTGAAACTTTTTTGTAGGAGAGTAGTATCACTAAGTCTCTATATTGGCCATACAAGTAGCACCTGAATTTCTTTTGTTTCATTAACCTTAACTAAAAAACACATACATACATGCTTTTTGGGCAGTTCATTTTATTATAGCCTTTTTACTCTCCCCTCCATTTTTTTGTTGTTGTTGTTGTTGTTTGTTTTTAGTTTTTTAAGTAGAAACAGGGGAAACAGGGTCTTACTACATTGCCAAAGCTTTTCTCAACTCCTGGTCTCAAGTGACCCTTCTGCCTCAACCTCCCAAAGTGCTAGGATTACAGGCGTGAGCCACTATCCCAGTCCCTCCTTTTACTCTTGATCTGACTTCTAAGTTTTTAATAGTGTTCCCCATGCTGTTATACACATGAAAACAACCCAGATCTCCACTTTATACAATTAGTGACCTACCAGTGGGATCTGTATTACTGTTCACAGTACATAAAATATGCAAGCAGTTTGCTAAATAGAAAATACATTTCAAATACCTTCAAGACTCAAAAAGAACAAATACAATTACGTATTTTATCATTTTATTAGGAATAATTCCAAATGGGTTATGCAGAAAATGTATTCTTCAAATTTGATGAGTTTTCCAAAAACTCTTAATGAAGATATGTCTGCTCAATAAACAAAACATCAGCAGAACTCTCATATACTGAGCAAAAAATCAGGCTGATAACAAAAGCAACATGCAACATAAAAAAGACACAATATAAAGGAAGACAATCTGCTGAGTATTAAAAACCATCTAAATCTCAATTCTTTGCAGCCAGCACAGAACTAATTAGCTATCAAATCCAAACCCCACCAAGGTATAAGTTTAGCTGATGTAGGCCAGGAGTCTCAATGTAGGGGGAAAAAATTTCCTCAGTGCAAGAGAGCTGAGTAGTGTTTTGGATCTTTCTGTGGCTGGTACAAGCAGTATTAGAAAATCTTTTTGGCAAGAGAGAGAAATAAATACAAATGGAATGCTACATTTTTAAATTAGCAGACTGTCTCAGGAATGATAAAGGTATCAGTAAAGTAGCAAGGAGATAACTTTAAAACATTATTTATCTGGGGCTTAAAAAGCACTCAAACCAATTTATTTAAAGGTTTCACAATAGCTATGTCCAGGCATTTACACTTATGGGAAGTAAAATTAAAAAAGGATACTTTTTTTCCCAAGGAGAATTTCTTTAAAACCAAGCACAATTGCTAAATAGCAACATTATACTTGGTAAACAATAATTGGCAACAAAATAATATTCTGCCCAAACGAGTCCCAGATACTGTTTAATAACCAAGATACAAACTAATTTTGTTGTAACAAGCCTAGGCCAATTTTATCAAACATGTCCTTGGTTAGATATCCAGTTTCATTTAACGTTTTGAAAGCTCATTTGACAGCCAGTCAAGTCCTTCATACAGACCAGTTCCTTGTGTTGCACAAGTGGCTTGAACATACCACTGTAAAGAAAAGACAAGAAAATACTTCATTAACAAAGTTAATATATAACACCAGTGTTTAAACTGTCTTAATCAAACTTAAGAGTCTTCTCACACCTCTTGCTTCTCACAAAACTCTACCATATTTAAAGCTACTTATGGCTGGGTGTGGTGGCTCGCACCTATAAATCCCAGCACTTTGGGAGGCGGAGATGGGAGGATCACTTGAGCTAGTGATCCTCGAGCTAGTAGTTCGAGACCAGCCTGGGCAACATAGTGAGACCTTGTCTCTACCTTTTTAGATTATTTTTTAAATAATAAAGCTGCTTCTACCTATTCTGGAGGTTGCAGTGAGCTGAGGTTGTGCCACTGCACTCCAGCCTGGGTGACAGACTGAGACTCCGTCTCAATCAATCAATCAATCAATCAATCAAGCTACTTCTACCTATTAATTATATTTAGACCAGATTTTCCCCCCTCAGTCATTCAGGTTTTTTTTCAGTACTAGTTTTTGGTTCCCTTTTAGTAAACTTTCTACCAGTTAATCTGAAAAGAGAAATCATGGGGAAATTAGTAACTAATAAACTATCCATCTGGTTTTTATAACTCTCGTTTCCCATAAAACTAAACTCAAAGAGGCAATTTTTGAAAGAGTAGGGTTTGTTATTTTAAAGGCAGGCTTTTCAGATAATTTCACTATCTTTAGTCTCATGCATTCCAAAAAGTTCTTGTTTTTAGATGGTAATGAATCTTATCTCTAGTAACTGTGAAAGTATCCAAAAAAAAAAAAAAAAACCTAGAAGACAATTTACATTTAAGATATAGTTTACTTTTATTAATTTTTTTTGACCAGTTTAACGCTGCAAGGCCACTGCAGGTATACCATGTTGCCAATTATTTGACTACCATATCTCAGTAACCTAGGAGGCTGGGGAAAGGCTCAAATTCATACCTTCACAGCATGGAAAACTTGTATCATTTACAGTTAGTGTTGCTTGCTTATTTACTGATTGATTGATTGTTTTGAGGCAGAGTACTCACTCTGTTGCCCAGGCTGGAGTGCAGTGGCATAATCTCAGTTCACTACAACCTCCGCCTCACAGGCTCAAGACATTCTCGTGCCTTCAGCCTCACAAGTAGCTGGGGTTACGGGCATGCACCACCACGCCCAGCTAATTTTTGTATTTTTAGTAGAGACAGGGTTTTACCATGTTTGCCCAGGCTGGTCTCAAACTCCTGGTCTCAAGTGATCCGCCCACCTTCCCCTTCTAAAGTGCTGGGATTACAGGTAGGTGTGAGCCACCACACCTGGCCCAGTTTATGTTCTTCAAATCAGCCTGAGATACCTCAAACAGGCAACAGGTTCTTTTTCTTTTTCTTTTTTTGAGACGGAGTCTCGCTCTGTCACCCAGGCTGGAGTGCAGTGGCACGATCTCGGCTCATTGCAACCTCTGCCGCCCAGGTTCAAGTGATGCTCCTGCCTCAGCCTCCAGAGTAGCTGGGATTGCAGATGCCTGCCACCACACCTCATTTTTTTTGTAGTTTTTAGTAGAGACGGGGTTTCATTATCTTGGCCATGCTGATCTTGAATTCCTGACCTCGTGATCCACCCGCCTAGGCCTCCCAAAGTGCTGGGATTATAGGCATGAGCCACTGCGCCCAGCCTGCAATAGGTTCTTTGTTGTTTCATTTTTTACCACAGCCATAGTATTTGCCTTATTTACAGGTTAATGCAAAACTACTGTAAAAAGCCTATGACACTAAGTTTCTGATAATTTATCTCCATCACTGAATCACTGATCTAAAATAACAAGCAATTTTAGAGAAGTATAATTTTTTTTTTTTTAAAGAAACAGTCTTGCTCTGTCACCCAGGCTGGGGTGCAATGGGCACAATCACAGCTCTCTGCAGCCTCCAACTTCTGGGTTCGAACAGTCCTCCCACCTCAGCCTCCCAAGTAACTGGGACTAAAGGCGCATGCCACCACACACAGCTAATTTTTATTTTTGTAGAGATAGGGTTTCACTTTGTTGCCTGGGCTGGTTTCGAACTCCTGGCCTCAAGCAATCCTCCTGCCTTGGCTTCCCAAAGTGTTGGGATTGCAGGTGTGAGCCGTGGTACCTGGTCTCCTCCATAAGCTGTTAACAAGCAGACAAGGCTGGGCACCATGGCTGGAATCCCAGCGCTTTGGTAGGCTGAGATAGTGGGAGGATTGCTTGAGTCCAGGAGTTCAAGACCAGCCTAGCAACAAAGTGAGACCCCATCTACACTTTTTTTGAGACCGAATTTCGCTCTTGTTGCCCAAGCTGGAGTGCAGTGGCGCGATCGCGACTCACTGCAACCTTCACCTCCCGGGTTCAAGCGATTCTCCTGCCTCAGCCTTCTGGAGTAGCTGGGATTACAGGTGTGTGCCACCACACCCGGCTAATTGTGTATGTTTAGTAGAGACAGGGTTTCTCCATGTTGGTCAGGCTGGTCTCGAACTCCCGATCTCAGATGATCCGCCCGCCTAGGCCTCCCAAAGTGTTGGATTACAAGCATGAGCCACAGTGCCCAGCCCCCAATCTCCACTTTTGAAACAAGCAAACAAACATTACTGGATCCTTAGTAAGAGAGCCAGATTTCAAAATATTTGCTGTAGGGTTATTTAAAAGATACAAAATTAAAATTAAGACTATCAATAATCTTCTTTCCATTCCTTCCACCTCCCCCTTCAAAAAAAAAAAGAATAGACTATCAATAATCTTTAGACCTATTCTACAGCAGTTTTCTATATCTTTACAAAAATGAAATAAAGGTATTTAAAGTTTATTACCATATTTTTAAATAAATGATGTGCTTATTATTTGTCCAAAGAAGATAATAAATGTTTAAACTGAATACTAGCTTACACAACTATCCTAGTAAGTCTTAATAGTCAAGAGGTTAATATCAACCTCCAAATACTTACTGTTCTGTTACGAAGAGACTGAAGCCCTAGTTTATCTGTCATTTCACTGATGGCCATAGCATTTGGCAAATCTTGTTTGTTTGCAAAAAGCAGTAGCACTGCATCTCTCAACTCATCTACCAGAAGCTGGAAATAAAAGGTAAGGCATTAGCAACTACCAACCGGAATCTGAGTTTTGAAACTAACTGTCTTCCTATATATGCTTTACTCAGCATTAAATACACTATTAAACATTAACCTAATTTCTCTACACAAAGATCACTCTTACAACTGCAGTCTCATATCCTTCAGTTTTTAAATCCAGAGCAATCAATCATATGCCTTCAAGTAAGACAGAACTGTTTTTCAAGTCAATCATTCTACACCCCATTAAAGCAAATCACTCATCATTCAGCCTTCATGATCACCCATTGTCAGGACTGATAAGGGCAAGAAACACATATGGGAATAAAATGTTTATGGTAGGATCTTATGGTACTTAGTAGCAGAAGTACTTAGATGATGATTCTTTTCAGACTTCTATCCTTTCCAACAACAGTGGGACAATAACACAATTATCTGGGCGTTGGCAGTATCATGAAAAATACAAAAAAAAGTACCAAGAACAGAAGTTGTACTGGTGCATGATACAATATAGATGAACCCTGAAAAATTACGCTAAGTGAAAAAAGTCAGTCACAAAAGAACACATTGTATGTTTTCATTTATAAGAATGTCCTGAATAGGGGACTGTATAGAGACAGAGTAATTAGTGGCTGTCAGAGGCTGGGAGTGTGGTGTAGGAGGAAGGAAATGGGAATGACTACTGATGGTTCCAAGATTTCTTTGGGGGTGATGAAAATTTTCTAGTATTAGATTGTGGTGACGGTTGTACAACTCTGTATACTAAAAGCCACTGATATGCACATTTTAAAAGGATAACATTTATAGTATGTGAAGTACGTCTTAACAAAGTTTTTCTTTTTTTTTCTTTTTTAAGAAGGAAAGCTGATGACATTTGACTCAGGCAAAAATCCAACAATGACTTAGTTACACATATACTGGCACAACGGTTTTACAAACTGCCCTCTAGTCTTAGGAGGAATGAATGATAATTAAAATTTCATCTCAGTAAATATTTTATGGCTACAAGTTTAAAATCATGACAAGGATTCTCAGCAGTCTTCCTCCATTTAGTACATTTAACACCACAAACACATGAAATCCAATATATGGCAAGGCTGCAAAATGCCACTGTGAACCAAACGTTTGTCTCTACTTTCAGAAGAAATTCCTTATCCTTAAATGGTTACTATTAAAAAACATTTCTGAAATAATTATTGGCACAGCATAGAGAAAATAGAACCGATGACCTTGGGAACAAAACATTTGAATCAAGATTCCTAGGGTCAAAACTGCTACAGCACTATAGATTTGGTACCTGTAAAATAAGGGACTGAGCTAAATCAGATATCCTCAGCCAGAGACAGGCATCAAGATTACCCATGAGGCATTCTAAAAAAAAAAAAAAAAAAAAAGCTGCTCTGCCCTTCCTCCCAATTTACTGAAGTACTCTTCCATGTGTTTTTCAAAATGCTCTATAAGAGATTTTGAAGTACATTAAGAACCTGTGGATAATAGAGTTTCTTAAGTTTATTTCTAGCCCCCCAAATCCACTTGTGTAAACTAATCATAATAATAAATTTAAAGTATATTCTTACCATTTTCTGCAGCTCATCTGCTACTTCCTGAATTCTTTCACGATCATTGCTGTCTACCACAAAAATAAGACCCTGGGGAAAAATTGTTTCAGTAAATTTTAACAGTTAAATGACATTCTCTATATGAAACAGAAGTGTAGGCAGCAAAATGGTACCAATGGTTAGACATTAGGAAGAAAATATCTCATTAAAAGTAAGAACTTAAAGCTATAATGCTAAAAGCTTATTTGAGAACTATTTGTAAGTTTAATTTATTAGTGCTATTTCAAATCTAAAAACTTTTTATTCTTCACCAATTAACTACTTTTCTCAACTACCCTAAGAATAAATTGTATCTATTTTCCCCTCTTCCCTCTGTACTCTCACATTTAAGTGCAGGTACCAAAATAGCCACAAAGTAGGAACAAGAAGAAAAATAACAAATCAAGGATCCTAAAGAATTGTGAATTTGGCCAGGCATGGTGGCTCATCCTGTAATCCCAGCACTTTGGGAGGCCGAGGCAGTCAAGGGATCAGGCCTGAAATCGCTTGAACTCAGGATTTGGAGACCAGCCTGGGCAACATGGCGAAAGCCTATCTCTACAAAAAAATACAAAAATTAGCCAGGCGTGGTGGTGCACTCCTGTAGTCCCAGCTATCTGAGAGACTGAGGTGGGAGGGATCACTTGAGCCCAAGAGATGGAGGTTGCAGGGGGCTGAGATCACGCCACTGCACTGCAGCCTGGGTGGCAGAGCGAGCCCCTATTTCAAAAAACAAACAAACAAATAAAACCATGAATTTACTAACTGAATTAGCTTATTGTATCAAAGGCAGGTACAGAGTGTAATAAAAGGGGGGTGGGATAGCGGGAGTGGGTGCACTACAGTTTTTATCTGCTTTATCATGGAAGGAAAAAATAAACTTGCTCCAGAATGCTGCCTGCCAACTCTAGAATCAGGAGGACATCTTAAGAAAAAGATAGCAAGAAAACTCCAAGATTGGGTGCAGTGGCTCACTCCTGTAATCCCAGCACTTTGGCAAGCCAAGGCAGGAGAATCATTGGAGCCCAGCCGTTTGAGGCCAGCCAGGACAATATGGCAAAACCGTATCTCTTCAAAAGAAGAAAGAGAAAGGAAGGAAGGGAGGGAGGGAGGGAAAGAGGCAGAGAGAGAGAGAGAGAGAGAAAGATTTACTTGATTAAGACATTCTTTAAAAAAAAAAGGTAGTATCAATTCTCAGAGATATAAATATTACCTTCTTTTTAGACAGGGTCTCAACTCTGTTGCCTAGGAGCACAGTGGCGTAATCTTGGCTCACTGCAGCCTTGACCTCCTGGGCTCAAATGATCCTCCCGCCTCAGCCTCCCAAATGGCTGGGACTACAGGTGCATGCCCCCACACCTGGCTAATTTTTCTATTTTTTGTAGAGAAGGGGTTTCACCATGTTGCCCATGTGGTCTTAAACTCCTGGACTCAAGTGATCCACCCATCTGGGCCTCCCAAAGTGTTGGGATTACAGGCATGAGCCATGGCACCTGGCCCATTATTAGAATTCTATACTACAAGAGAAATGGAAGGAATTAGGAAGCAATTAGTTGAACTCTTTTTCTAAAAACTTTCAAATG